ATTGATATATCCATTGTTGGTAGTAACTGGAGAGATATTTCAGCGTTTAATATTCATGTGACATAATAAAAGGGTTGTTTAGTGCTTAGCATATTAACAGGTAACACATTTTCCACTGTCGCTACGTTATCCCCTTGACAAAATTAAAGGTATACTTTTAAATCATTCTTTATAATCGGTTATGTTCAAGATTAAATTTTTAAGAAGATGTTTCGGTGGCGCCGTTGCTAAGATATTGGCTTTGGCGACGGGGGTCGCGGGTTCGATTCCCACACGGGGGACGGAGGGAGGATATTTGTGTGACCCACAGATAATTGTAGCAATAAAAATAATACCCAAACATATCTAACCGGATCTGGGTGTTTGTTTCCCAAGGAAGGTTGACGTCAGGCTGATCAAAGCCAAAACCGCTTACAACGTCCTTCACATGTTGTGCCGACCCCACCTGGGACAAGGACATAGGGATGATGATGATTAAACATTTAAGAAACTACCTCAAATAAAACGTAATGTAAGCAAGTAATTGTTTCCTTTCAGTTTCGTTTATCCCAAAGCACGAACAAGAAGTTTTCGTTCATTTCCTCATAGAGCGAAAGTTAATGAAAAGTTCACAAAGCGCCCTTTGTATTACATCATGCAAGATGCTGGTGTAATTTAACTTTAATATTGCTTTAAAACGTTTCACTATTTATCATTACGGAATTGAAAATGTCTAACTGTAACATACTATTCGATGACAAGAATTGGTGCATTCTAAATCATAAACAAAATTTAATACCTTTATGTAGCTTTCAGATAAAAGCTACATCAAAGTGACATTGGTTAAATGAATTTAAAAGTTGTTTAAAAGTAAAAACTGTTAGAAGGAATAACTTGTAATGCGACGTTGTGGCAAATATTGAAAAAGTCTCTGAATGTATGAATCAGTCATTTGTAGTCGTAGAGGATGTTATAAATTTTGTTTCTATCTTATTTAATTATTTTCAAAATGATTTTTTTAAATTACGGTTTTTTTAACGTTTACATTTTTTTATGATTATATTTATTGTCGCGGTTGTAACGCCATGCTTTATATTACAATGTTTGATTTTTGCAGCTTTCGTTTTTCCGTCCAGCGATTACAATTTGGGCTGAAGATAACTTTAATACATGTATATTCAATTAAAAGAATACTTACCACTACAAGCTCCACCATCAGCAAAAGCTTAATCATTACATTAAAACTTACTTGAACGAGCTGTGATAGCATTGTCCGGGCACTCGCTTTTAATTCAACATACTCGAGCAACTTGAGTTCATCCCTGGTGCCGATACCAATGAAATTGTTAATTTTAAGTGCTGACTTATCACGTGCCCAGCGGTGAAGGAAACATACGCGAGTATAGCTGCATATTTCCAAAATAATAATAAAAAAACATTTCGATGATATGTGAAGTCCACCAATCCACAGTGGGGCCTCGTGGTGGATTATGCACTCATAGCCTCTTTACAGAAAAGGCCCTTGCCCACCAGTGGGATATAATATATAGGCTGTTACTTTACTGTACTTACTTAAACTGGGCTAAAGTGAAACAAATAATTGTCATAAACTTCCTAGTTCATTCTTGCACGATTAGAGACGTTTGTCGAGTTTTCAAACAGGTTAACAATTTTTCCATCAACAAGGACTAAAAATAATCAATTCCGTAAGGAGCAAAGATAATTACAAAGCCATTAGTTTGTAGAAGGTATTAAAGATTTTAAAATGTTTTATTGCTTATTTTTCGTAATTATTGGAGTATCTTTTACAGCAAATATAAGATGTTCTACTATTTCATTTAACATATATTTTCCTAAAATTATGAATTTTGTTCTCGAAAAGCATTAAGTAATTTATAGTAAATTCCGAGTCTATGTCATTTACGAATCTGTCGATAATCCCAAATAGTAGTAATATAAATCGTTTACTTGTTTAAATATAACATAAAAAAATAAAAAACTGACAGAAATAAAAACAACAAGTATGTAAACAAAATGGTCCAGAACTCAAAGTTGTAGCACCGAAGTTACACAAACATTGATATTATGTCCTATCCAGACATCATTTACAAAAAGAACACGCTTATATAAATAGATAATCGGTTTTTTATTCACGTCTACATCGTTGTTTCATAACAATATAATCAATAATAGCAACCGAACATTTACATACATTCCAGACATTACAAACCGATGTACACAATTATACAGGTTCTAAAAGTGTAATAGCATAAAAACTTGCCTGACATTAATTCGATTTAAAATCTTAAAAAGACCTATAAAAAATGTGATAGTCCTACTTCACATTACAAATGAAGCGTCGGAAAATAAAATTAAAAACAAACAGGAAAAATCGGTATAACAGTTTTATTTAATAACTAAAAACTGCTATTTATACGAAACAGAAACATAAATGTCAGGTTTCTAAATGTTATACTTAATCTGTTAGTTTGCATGAAACTGTGAAACCTTTTAATATTTGAACACGCCAAACTACCGCAAAGTAGCAAAACAATGAATATTCTACAATCACAGTTGGTGTGCAACGAAGCTAAATTCAAACATTTTTAAGCCCACAGGTACTAGAGCATAAATGCCACTTAACTCATAGCGGTCACGGGTAAGCTTAATTATTACTGCAACCTACAAAGTGGATTGCACTGCTTGTTTTAATGCATATTCTGGCTTTAATTTTTTTTTTGTAGTCTAAGTTGCTCAAAATTTATTTCATTGTTGGTATTGGTAACATTAAAATAACGTTCTTATATGTTTAGAAAACAAGTTTATCAGGGATTTAAGTAAATAACGTAATATGATTGAAGACTTACTGTTGCGATTACTTGATGATGACTTGTTTTTATGAGATTTTTTTTTATGAATCCGGTTCGATTCTGATCGGCATCGGTTGAATGCTATTCGTTAGATTTCGTTCACTATAGGTCATAAAAATTGTCAAGCTATGTTACCCATAGTGTAGTTTCTTTTATAGGTATATGAAATGTACGTAGTATGAATAATTAAATATGTCGATGAATGAATTAAATTTCAAAAGGTTGTCAACGCATCTGCAACCCTCGGGTGTAGCAGATGTCCATAGGTACATCAGTGTACCGTCTGCTCGCTTGGCAGCTTTTCACATAAAAAAAAATAATTTGATTTTTTTATACATTAAAATCACCTTTAATTACTATAAACATTTATCAAATGTTAGTATTCTATGTAAAAGTGTATGAACTAGAAATTTTTAAATTGTAAAAATGCGAAAAGATTGTCGCCGCTGTGGGAATCGAACCCACGTCTTCGGCATTCGCGGCCTGAGGCTCTAGCCACTGAGCTAAACGGCTGATTACCACACCGACGAAAATCTTAACGCATTTTTCCACATTGTTTTCTTAGCATTTGAAACAATGCTTGGCGCCATCTATTGTTATATCCTTTCCAGCATACAAACAATTTCGAATATCGTTTTACAACGATAATTCGAACGAGAGATGTCGCCATTGCTTTTTTTTTTTTTTTAGAAATTTTTAAATTGTTTATAGTGCTAATCTTTGCACTTAAGATTGAACATTAAAATATGTAGAAAAAAATTGTTTGTATGCTGGAAAGGATATAACAATAGATGGCGCCAAACATTGCTTCAAATGCTAAATAACAATGTAGAAAGAAGGCGTTAAGATTTTCGTCGCTGTGGCTATCAGCCGTTTAGCTCAGTGGCTAGAGCGTCAGGCCGCGAATGCCGAAGACGTGGGTTCGATTCCCACAGCGGCGACAATCTTTTCGCATTTTTTCTACATATTTTAATGTTTAATCATAAGTGCAAAGATTAGCACTATAAACATTTTAAAAATTTCTGAAAAAAAAAAGCTATGGCGACATCTCTCGTTCGAATTATCGTTGTGAAACGATATTCGAAATTGTTTGTATGCTGGAAAGGATATAACAATAGATGGCGCCAAGCATTGCTTCAAATGCTAAGAAAACAATGTGGAAGAATGCGTTAAGATTTTCGTCGGTGTGGTAATCAGCCGTTTAGCTCAGTGGCTAGAGCGTCAGGCCGCGAATGCCGAAGACGTGGGTTCGATTCCCACAGCGGCGACAATCTTTTCGCATTTTTTCTACATATTTTAGTGTATGAACTAATTTGCTTATTACTCGTTAAATGGATATATTTTTTTAATTTCTTCATATGTGCAAGAATCTATGTTAAGTTTAAGTTTGTAGATATTTTCATGTCAAATTATACAAGCACAAATTTTGAGCTAAATATGAACATCGTAAAAATAAAGTAGTTCAGTAAATTGCAGTTTCATTTATTAAGTTAAATATTATATTTTTCAGGATTCAATAAAAATATCTAAGCAAATAATTCATGAAAAGAAAATTCTGATTATTATCTGACATGTAATGAAATATGAGGTAAGGAATGAAATAAAACAACATAGTGTGTTATTAATTCATCAAAACTCGTTAACGATGCTAACTATTTAATATATACTTGAATTCATTTTTAGGGTTCCGTACCCAGGGGTTAAAACGAGACCCTATTACTAAGACTCCACTGTCTGTCTGTTCGTCTGTCTCCAGGCAGTACAGTCTGGTGACTAAACAGACTGAGAACAGACGCACGGCTCATGAGATATATCTCACGAACCACGATAGTTAGACAGTTGAAATTTTCACAGATGATGGATAATAATAAATATATAATAATAGTTGCCGCTATAATAATAAATACCAAAAATCTGAATAAAATATTAAAGTGGTGGATTTTTTGCTATTTTTAAAGATAACGTTACGGAACCCTTCGTTCACGAGTCCGACTCGCACTTGGCTGGTTTTTGATTTAAGCGGATATGGTTATAAATTTAATTTAGAAATAACAAAATAAATTCTGATTTAAAAATTATATTTAACAAAAACACCATGTCAAAAATTGCCGAAAGTTTGTACAGCACTCATGCTTAAGCAATCTCGTTTTAACTTAATATTCTAAATTTGTAATCAACCTTATATCCGTTTTTTCTGGCATGCTGGTTTAGTGATTGCGTCATTGCCTTGATCCTATCCAAAACATCTGAAATTGTCAGATTTTTCAAAGTCAAGACCTTCTGCTTCGGAGGTATTTTATATCGGCTTTTCTGATGCAACGCTTTCTTTATGTACTGGGGCATTTCTGAAATTAAACGTATCAAAAAGTATAAAATTATGTATTCTTTTTCATGGAATGGCACACATGAATAAATTGAGGCAAATACTTCATAAAAATCTTTTTAACAATAAGGCCGACTGTTGTACCCATGTGTCTCGAATTATAACTATGTCTTGGTGCAGAATAAAGAAAAAATTCCATCAACTTCAATTAACTGTGAAAGCCTATAAATGAGTCTGTACAGAGGGTGTTACGGCATAGTCCACCACGCGGCCCCACTGCAGATTGGCGGACTATTTTTGTTATTATTTCGAAAACATATCGATTTCTACATGATGGTTTCCATCACCGCAGAGCAGGTGAAAAGTGAGCACCGATAATTAGCAATACCGTTGGTGCCGGTACCGGGGACCAAAATCAGGTTGCTCAAGTATAAGGAATTAAAAGCGAGACAATGATATCACGGATAATGCTATCACGGCTCATTGTCCGAGCACTTGTATTCAATTTGTATTCTAATATAGTGCATCTCCAAGAGTGCGCTCAATGATCTTATGACTTATTTTGTCCTACTATCTATCGATAATGATTTAATGACGTCCATTCTTTTATAATGATATTTCTATAGTTCGAACTAGGGTTTATCACATTATTTTTAAAAGGTATATGAAGTAAAACTATGTGTGTGTTTAGGGCAAGAATGAATTGTCTCCTACATCAGCCATTCACTACCTATCAACTATACTATTACTGGCATCCCACTTGATAGGAAGGGTAAATCATTTCCTAAGAAAAACCTTTATTCGAAACAGTATATATAGCTATAATCATTTGATGTAATTGGTAGTTTTTACCTGGAGACATAGAAAACTCGAATGCTGCTACGTAAAAAATCACCATCACGAAAATACTGATCGTTGCCCACATGCCAATGAGTTATCGAATGCATTACCCGCTACGCTCTATTGTTATGAAAACTGACATTGTTTCTTGTTATTTTCCAACGCAACAACACTAAATTGAAACACAGAAAGTTTGCAAAAGATTTATAAATACGTAACACTTTCTTAAGATCTTGCATCTTGTATCTTGTATTAACTGATGTTTTTGCTTTCAGTCCCGAGACTATTAAAGCTTCATCGGACGCAGAACCGGTGGGCTAGCCAGAACCCACGGGTTTGGACCCTCCGCTATGGGTAGGGTCGCGCATGTGCTCATGCGTGCGTTTAACTACTATGGTGTGTCATCTAAGGGCCGTCGAGGTCGCCGGTTCGGACCGAGACCCCGACGGCCGTCGACTGTGCATTTAGTTAATCGGTGGCTGGGAGCGGTGAGAACCGCCCCGGAACGCCGGTATACCTTGTGTACGCGTTTTGTGGGTCTCGCCGTGCTCGGAGGCGAGGGCGAACTGGTGTGATTGTTGTTACACCAGCTGTGGGTGTAGTGTTATCCGGCGGGACCCCCCGGCGGTGGGTCCATCGTATCTAAGGCCTCTTCGTCGACCGGGTCGATGAGGACGTTTCGCGGGCGACGCTTGTTTACGTTCGCGTTTGTGTCCGGTTGGTAGTTTGCTGCGCTTACCACCAGAGGGTTGGGATGATGCTGGGCTCTATCGAAGAACCGTTTTGTCAAATCTTTAAAATGTGCGCGAATCGTCGGGAGTCTGCAATCGCTGTGCAGGTCGACGTTGCGCTGATACCATTGCGCACCGGTTGCGCGGCGGATAAACTTACTTTGAACTACTTGCAATTTGTTAATGCGCGTAGGATTTATATGTGCGAAGATCATGCAAGCGTAGGACATGATTGGCCTTACGCAAGCTTTATATAACAGTAGTTTGTGCCTTAAGGGCATTTTACTATATTTATTCGTTAAATTGTGTAGCCGGCCGGAGACGAACGCGGCTTTATTTCGGACTTGATTGATGTGCGTAGTGAAAGTCATACGCGAGTCGAAAGTGACTCCTAAATATTTGACCGTTTTCTCCCAGGGGAGAGTTAGGCCATATAGTGATATTTGCCCCAACTTTCTGTACTGGCGAGGACCTTTTTAACGGTGTGGCGGATGCGGGTTGGGGGTGCTACGAGTGAAGTGAATCGCCACACTTTTTTCTGGATTAATATCGATTCTCCATTTGCGGAACCAATCGCCGAGGCGGTCGGCGGCGCTTTGGACTCGAGTTGTTAATTGACTGAGGTTGCGGTCTGAGTAAAAGAGCGCCGTGTCATCCGCGAAAAGCGCGAGATTGACGTGGGGGTCTCTAGGTATGTCGCTCGTGTAGAGCGTAAATAGCAAGGGTGAGAGGCAGGAGCCTTGTGGTACGCCGGCCGTGAGACGGCGGCCGTGAGACGGCGGCCGTGAGACGGCGGCTTGTGGAGAGGGTGCCCTGGACTCGATATCGAAAAGAGCGGTTCAACAAAAAGGCTCGGATGGTGTGTACGAGTCTATCTGGCACTTGGAGTGTGTACAGCTTGTAAAGCAAGCCGTTGTGCCAGACTTTGTCGAATGCTTTTGCGACATCGAAGAAGAGAGCCCCTGTACTAATGTGTTTGGGGTGGTAAAGGCCTTTTAGGATGTGCTCCGTTAGGCGGTATAACTGATCGGGACAAGAGTGTCTAGCTCGAAAGCCGAATTGTTCCGTCGGCAGAAGGCCGTTGGAAAATATGTGCTCTTTGAGCCTGTTTAACAATAGCCGCTCGTAGAGCTTCCCGAGACAACTGAGGAGGCTGATGGGACGATAGCTGGAGGGCTTATTGGCTGGTTTATTCGGCTTGCGAATGCCGATAACCGTGGCTTGCTTCCAGTCGTCCGGAAAGGAGCAACTGGAGAGAAGTGTATTGAAAATTGTCGCCAGTAAACAGATAAGCGGCCCAGGGAGAGCTTTGAGAATCTTATTATTACATTATTTGGGCCCGGGGCGGATTTTGGTTTTAAATTTTTAATAATATCTTGGACCTCTTCGGGGGTCACTGAATTTAAAGGTTCGCCTTCCGGTGGAAGCGCAGCCCTAGTCTCGATTACGCGGTCCACCTCCGTTAGGTGGGCCGAATCGGTGTGTTCGTGCGATGGCGTACATTGCTGCTCTAGGTTGTCCGCAAGGCATTCGGCTTTTTTCGGAGTCATCTAGGGCTACTGAAGCGCTATTAGGTCTAACTAACGGCGGTAGAGATTCGCGGGGGTCTGCTTTCAGACTGCGGGCCAACCGCCAGTAGGCGGTGTGCGATGGCTCGATGTCCTCTAGGACAGTGTCCCACGTTGTGTGTCGGTTTTCCGATACACGATCTTTGACTTCTAGCTGAAGGCGTCGAAGTAAGTTTCGGTTCGATTCGAATCGGTATCGGTCGAAGGCGCGTTTGGCTGCATTTTTCTGTCTAATTAGCAGTCGCAGGTCGGGCGGAAAGTTAAACCGTCGGTCGCCCGACAGTTTCACCGTCCGTTCCGAGTCTGCGACTGCGGAAGTAATAGTTTCGCGGAGACTCGCTATCGCTCGATTTGCGTCATCGAACGTAGCTATCGTCTCGGGTAAGTCTACTAAGTCCTGGGGGTCCAAGGCCTTGAGTTTGACCTCAAGACGATGTCAGTCCACTACGGATTTGGTCGGAGGGACCGCGCCGGCGTTCTGGCCCAGTTTACACAGGACGGCCTGTGGCCTGAGTCTAGTTCATGGATTGTCTCTATCGACTCGATGTCGAGCGAGACCTCCCTGAATAACATTATGTCTAGGACACTCGGTGACGCGTGCTGGTAGTTGTCCACCGTAGGATACCTAGTGGGAGTCGCGGGAGCGACTATACTAAAATTTAGGTTAACGGATAAGCTAAAGAGATGCTTTCCGTTGTTATTCGGGATGCTGTTGATGTCCCATGAGCCGTGTTTGCAGTTTAGATCTCCTGCAATTATCACGGAAGGGCCTAAGTTAAGAAGCGTATCTAGGTCGCTTTGAAGGAGGGTTCTATTCCCCGAGAGGTAGGCTGAGACTAGTACAAGCGGCCTGTGGCCGGTGAGCGCTAACCTACACGCGGATGCCTCTATTTGACTTAGCTCTGGAATGTCGAGCGGGCAACAGTGCAAGGACCGTTTATAATAAATTAGTGTGCCTCCCAGACGGTGTGCTAACCGGTCGTGGCGGACAATATTGTAATTTGCGATTCTGGGATCGCGTACGCTAGGTTTCAAGAATGTCTCTTGCACTAGGAAAATATCTACGTTATAATCGTGAAAGAATTCCGCGATTTCATCCTTTTGACCCTTTATGCCGTTTGCGTTGAAATACGAAACAAACAGAGCCCGAGGTTTTGTTCTACCTGCGGTTGTACTTCCCATTAAGGTGTTTTTATGGGTCTAAATAACGACGCGGCGGAGCGCGGTTTTATTGCGCGGACTATTGTTCTTTACGGTTGGCTCGTAAAAGCCCAAAGGGCTTCCACAAGCGTTTTGTGTTGGCTGATTGCCCTAAGACGCTCGTGGCCAGATGTGGCGGCCGCTATTTTAGCGGACAATACGGCGAGTTCCTGCCTATTGATTCTATCTAATAAGCTGCAGATGTTAGCTATTTGCGCGAATGGGTCGTCCTTGTTTTCCGCGAAAACTGACGGAATTGGCTGCACCTGCGGCCGCGGCGCCGGTGGATCTGCGCAATCTTTCGGCCTCGTGCACTCGGTTGTGCCGTGGTCACCGGTGCATTTGACGCACCTTGGGTGAGCGAAGCAGTTATTGGCCGTGTGGCCAAAATGTTGACAGTTGTGGCACTGTGCCACAACACCTGATTTACGTGGGGGCTCGATTACTAAGTCACTGAGCCCACAGACCCTCTTAAGGTTGAAAATGGTCTTACCTTCCGGGGTAGGGTCGAGTTCCACCATGACCATGTCCATAGGGACACGGGTGCGAGGGTGCCTGAGACGACGCACGGCGTGAAAAGGGTATCCCTGAATGCAGATGTCGACCTTAGCCATATCGACATCCGACTCTTTTGGGCCCTTAATTACGACCCGAAGTTTACGCTCTTCGGGTAGTGAGTAGGTGTGGAAACCTACCTTAGCTTCGCGCAAGTACTTAGTTACGCGACGGAAATCGTCCGAAGAATCGAGGTATACGCGGATACCCATATGCGTATTCTTGGACCGGGGGTCTCGGATGTTGTGGCGTTCAAACCACGAACAAACCTGGTGCCACTTTGCCTTATCTTGTATTATTGGCGGCGGTGGCTTGATTTTTCGCTCGGAGGCGAATGTCGGTTCCGACTGGGCAGACGCGGCTGCCTTTTTGGCGGGCATCGCGGTGGGACGGTTTGACGGGGCGGCCTCGCTTTCGGGGTCACTGTCGGTAGCGGGGCGTTTCTTGCCCTTTTTTCGCGATTTGACGACGGTGAAGCCGTCGGCGTTCACGTTGTTAGCGGGGGTCGTTTCGACCTCCATGTCTGAGCCGCCGTCCGATTGTGAGTCGGGAACGACAGCGCGGAAGGGGGCCGAAATGGTTTGCGCGGAAGGCGCGTTGGGTTCGTTCGCGGCGGCGGAAGTCGACGCGACGGGCATCAATTGTCGCAGAGGGCGATTCGATGACTGGCGCAGAGGGCACCGGAGATGGCGGCGAGGCGGCAGCCGGTGAAGCCGGACTGTCGCTGGAGAATTCGACGACAGGGCGTCGTTCCCTCGCGAAACTTAAATATTTAGCCCATACTTCAGGGCATTCCTGTCGAAGGAACTCCTCTAAGAGGGAACCCATGACGACGCTTGTGCCTTTGGGGCTTGCGCCCCGCCGGCGTGTGGTTTCTAAATAGGCCTCCCCACCTTGCGGCAGGGAGGTGTGTGCCTAAAATTAACCTTTAATCGCCTGCGCTTTAGGTGCGCTAGGGTGAGTACCTAGCTGTCGCCTAATGCAACAAGCACACAGAAAAAAATTACAATGCTGCCTCTGAGACGAGAAAT